TCTAGTGAAAATTTTTAACTCTTTCACTATTGTGGAGGTTAGTTTTTGTTGGATAAATTCTAGGAGAATTTAATGCCAGTTTGCTGGTCATTATGGAAACTGAGCCTGAGTATTTCCTGGAGAGCTGGTTTAATTATGGCAAATTTCCTCAACATGTGTATGCCAGTAAAGTATTTGATTTCTCCATCACAAATGGAACTCAGTTTAGCTGGATACAGGATCCTGGGCTGAAAGTTGTTTTGTTTTAGGAGATCTAAGGTTGATGACCATCCTCTTCTGGCTTAAAAAGTTTTGGCTAAAAGGTCTGCAGTCATTCTAATATTTCTCCCTTTGCAGGTAATGCTTTTCTTACATTTGGCTGCTTATAGAATTTTCTCCTTCATATCAACTTTGGCAAAGTTAATTACAATGTGTCTAGGAGATGCTTTATTTGGACTGAGTATTGCTGGGGTTCTGAAACTGTCTACTATCTGAATTTCTTTTTCTTTTTTTGCCTTTTTAAAAAATGTATTTTTAGGGACAGAGTCTTGTTCTGTACCCCTGGCAAGAGTGCAGTGGTATGATCACAGCTCACTGAAGCCTCAAACTTCTGGGCTCAAATGATCCTCCTCTGTCAGCCTTCTGAATAGCTGGGACTACAAGTGTGTCACTGTGCCTAGCTAATCTTTTTATTTTTTGTAGATGGGTGTTGGGCACATATGCGTGTCTCACTCTGTTGCTGAGGCTGGTCTCAAATTCCTGGCCTCAAGTACTCTTTCTGCTTCAGCTTCCCAAAGTTTTGGGATTATAGAATGAGCCACTACACTTGACCCATTGTACTTATCTTCTATTGCACTTAGCATAATGTCCTCAAAGTTGATCCATATTGTAGTATGTGAGAGCATTTTTTTCTTTTATAAAGCTGAATAGTATTCCACTGTATGAATGCATCACATTTTGTTTATCCATTCTTCTGTCAATGGGCATTTGGGTTGCTTCCACCTCTTGGCTTTGTGAATACTACTACTATGAACATGGATGTGCAAATACCTCTTCAAGATCCTACTTCCAGTTTGGGAGGATATAAGTGGGACTGTCATATCATAGTTCTATTTTTAACTTTTTGAGAAACCAACACTCTTTTTCATAGTGATTACATCATTTTACAATCCCACCAGCAGCATGCAAGAGTTCCAATTTCAAAGTGTTATGTTTTTATCTTGCAAATGATGCTGAGTACTTGTTCACATTTCTTGTTCAATTAGATCTCCATTTTATAAGGTGTCTGTTCTGGTCTTTTGTCAGTTTTCCTAATAGATTGTCTGGACAAGTGTTTTGTACATTCTAGATATGAGCTCTTTATTGGTTATATTTGTTCCAAATATCTTCTCCTACTCTATGATTTCCTGACTTGGGATCACCAGGTTTTCCATTGGCCATCAGGGGGGAGGGCCCAGAAGGCTGCGTGGTCCGACAGGACTCCCATCCTCCTCATCTCCAGTCTCTTCCCTCTCTGGTAATAGGTGCTGCTGCGGCAGCAATAAGTGGCCCTGATTCTACTTCTTTAGTTTCAACATCATGGCTGCGGCAATGGCCTATCTGAATTTCTGTATCTCTTACACTGCTTGGGAAATTCTCCTCCATAATCTCTTGGAGTAAAGCATCTGCGCCATTAAGACCATCCTCTTCTCCTTCAGGAATTCCTATAAATCGTATGTTTGATCTTTTGGAATGATCCCACAACTGTCTCAGGGAATGATCAACTTTTGCTTCCCATTTTTCTGCCTCTTTGAGTGCTTGGGCTCATTCAAAAGCCTTGTGTTCAACTTCAGAGATCCTTTCTTCTGGCTGCTCAACTGTATTTCTGAGGGATTCTATTGTATTTTAGAACTCCTCAAATAACTTTTTCATTTCCTTAAGCTCTGCATTATGTCCATATCCTTGATGATTTTCTCTTTGAATTCAATAATTTCTTGAGATAACTTTTGAACAACTCTTTGGACTTCCATTTCCATCTTTCCTTCCATTCTATTCATTTTATTTGTCATCCATATTCTGAATTCTATTTCTAACAATTCTACAATTTGGCTATGAATGGCATCTTCTGTTGTATCTCCTTTGTCATTCCTTGGGTTAGTTAATCTACTCTAGTTATTCATGTTGCCAGCGTTCTTCCACTGGTTCTACACCATGATTATTTTCCACAGTTTGGCTAGTAAAATTGGTAGTCTGAGTCTGGATTGAGGGCCCCAGGAAGTGGAGTTAACCAGTCCTTTACCAATGAGCTGGGGCTGGTGATTGTGGCTTTTCCCCTAGAGCTTTAAAGCTGCAGCCAGAGACTCTGAGGACCTGCTTGGTGTGATAGTGCTAGCTGGCTCTGTCTTATAGTCAGCCAGCCTCTATACAATCCTAATGAGTTGTGGTATTAGACTGCAATCTCAGCTGGGGAAAGACAGGAGCAATTGTGGTGTCCCACTCCCACCAGCAACAACTAGAGGAAAAGAATCAGTCCCTCCTGCTACAAAATGAGTGCCACTCAACGTTGGAGGGTTCCTGGGTGGACAACCCAGGTGAAGAATTCTAATTTGATGGTTCTAGGCTATACAATCACTGCTCAACAGGGAGAGTGCAAAGTGTCTCCAGCAACCCAATAGTACAAATCCACAGGCAGTTCCCTCCTAAAGACCCGAGAGGCAGGAATCTCTCCTATTCCCTCTGGTGAGCAATGGGGTTAGGAAGGTGTACCCTGCCAAAGAGTCAGTCCAGAGGTGTCAGCACCTCCATACCCACCTCCACTCCCCACTGCTGATGGCAACCCCACTGGGCTGGAGCCTGGTTCCCTCCAGTGAACAACGTAGTCCAGGGGGTGGTGGTACACCTGCCTGAGTAAAAGGAGAATAAGCATCTCCTCCCCTGCCACACACTGTCCTTGGCAACTCTGAGGGACTGAAGACCAGTTCCCTCCAGTTGGCAATGGTATTAGGGGAGTGTGCCTTCAAATTCAGACCAGAGGCATGAGTGCCTCCACCCACACCATCATCGTGCATTTTTCTCTCCCACCCGGTCACCACCTCACCCCTACTGCACACTGCCACTGGCAACCCAAAGGGGCTGAAGCCTGCTTCCTTCCAGGGCATAACCATAGCGTGGTACATCTCTGTCTCCTGCATGTCCCTCTCTCCCTGAGAACCCCAACTTCCACTCGAGTCACTGTTTCCACACTGCTGTCCAGTAGCCCAGTATGCCCAGGCCTCGCCAGAATTGCCAAACACTCTGGGCTCTGCATGGGGCAGGCCTACAGTCCGCTAGGCAAAGGGGGGAGGGGGATTGGTAGTTCAGAGTTGCAGGGGAAATACTGGTTCCATTTTATGCTGAGCAGGATGATGCCTAGGCTCACAAGTGGCACCTCCCTGGAGGAAGCCCAGTGTTTATAGGCTCTTTCCATGGGATAAAATAAGAGGTCCTTTGTTCCCTGCTTGATTGCAGAGGGCACACAGTGAGCCTCTCTTAGGGGAAGGGGTCTCTTATCCTCTTTATAGTGGAAGGGATCTCTTGTTCTCTTGATGATGGGTTTTGTACCTAGAGTCTGTTTTCTTGGAATCGCAGCTTGCCTCTAGAGATGGTGTTCAGTTATCTATCTCTTCTTTCTTAGCTTAGCTCCCTACCTTCAACTTGACTGAGTCCATTCTGTCCCTTAGCTCTCCCTGTGGACAAGAGCCTCTGCCAAAAGCTGCCTCTAGTCAGTCATCTTACTTCTTTTCTCCTCTATCCCAATTTGGATACACTTGATATTCTTCTCTTGTCCAATCACTTTGGGTAGGACTTACAGCACTATGTTGAACAGTAGTGGCAACAGTAAACAACATCTTTTCTGGCTCCTGTTCTATGTGGAAACACTAAGTTTTTGTCTCTTCAATATAATGTTGGCTCTTGGTTTGCTCAAGATTGCTTCTGTCAATTTTAGTAATGTCCCATCTATGCCAATTTTCTTAAGTGTTCTTATCAAAAAAGGGTGCTGAATTTCATCAAATGCTTTTCTGCATTAACTGAGAGAATCATGTAGTTTTTGTTTTTACTACTGGGGTGAATTACATTTATAGATTTGTGTATATTGAACCAGACTTGTATCCCTGGATGAAGCCCATTTGGTTGTGATGAATTATTTTTTTGATGTGTAGCTGAATTCTGTTAGCTAAGAATTTATTGAGTATTTTTACTCAATTAAGAGTAAGATATGATTATTTCACCTCTTGTGCATATCTTACTTCTAATTTCACACACATCAATGGGGTCACTGTCACCACAAGAATTTGGTGACAATGCAATTATTTAAAATAATTAAAAATACTGGTCTGTAGTTTTCTTATTTTGCTATGTCCTTTCCTGGTTTTGGTTGCCAGAGTGATGTTTAATTCACAGGAGGAGTTGGGGAGGGTTTCTTCCTTCTCAGTGTTATGGAACAGATTCTCCAATATGGGTACCAGCTCTTCTGTCTGGTCTGGGACTTTTTTTTGGTAGGAAGATTTTTTATTGTTTTAATTTCAAAGCTTGGTATTTGTCTGAGTGTTCTGTTTCTACCTGGATGAGTCTAGGGAGGTAGTGTGAATCTAGGAATTTGTCCTTTTCCTTCATATTTTCAAATTTCTGGATATAGAGATTTGCTACATAATCTCTATAATGTAATGATGTTTTGTATTTCTGTGATATTTGTGATTATTTCCCTCTTTTTTGTTTCTGATTGAGTTTATTAGAGATCTTACTTTTTTGTTTCTGGTTAATCTGAACAAAGGTTTGTCAGATTTTTTATCTTTTCAAAGGTACTTTTGTTGTGGGTTTCTTTTAGTTGTCATCTGATTTTGGTTATTTCTTTTGCTGGGTTTGGGATTAGATTGCTCTTCTTTTTCAACTTCCTAGAGATGATTCATTAAATTGCTTTTCACTCTTCTAGATTTTTGGATGTGAGCATTTAAGGCAATCAATTTCCTCCTCAGGAATGCTTTTGCAGTATCCCACAGGTTTTATTTTTTTCAGTAAAATAATTTTATTTCCCAACACACAGTAAACATATACATCCAATATGTGCTTTTCTTATGCATCTATTCACAAATAACATCCAAATTACAACTGCTTTTATATTTAAGCATGTACTAAAGTTATCTTAGTTGACATATGAAAAATGCTTTGGACAGATAACATTGTGAATATATTGGATTGTTTACAGCAGAATTTGCTTTAGTTAGATGAGTTCTACATATTTAAGGCTTGGAGAGGCTACTACTTTTATATCTAATACTTCCAGATGAATAGGATGCAGAAGTATTAGCTGATATTCCAGAGAAATCTCATTAGTTTTTCTGGTGATGGAAGCACTTACCCACATCTGTTGGTAGTATGCAGGCAGATTCACATGGTGGTGGCAGAGCATCCACAATGGCTTTGGCAGTATTAGGATCATACTTGAAGGGGCTTTCAGACACTGTTGTATTCATGCAATTGATTCCTTTCCCATCTGTTTTCTTAGTCACTAATGCTTTCTAACAGTTGCAAAGTCCTTATCTTAAATTCTGCATTGAAAGCAAACTCATTTTCTGGTTTTCCATCAGGAACGTTGTATCTTCTAAACCAGTCCACAGTAGCTTCTAGGTAGCCAGGTTTTAGTTGTTTGACATCATAAATATCATAATTTACAGCATCAGGATTGTCCACATTAGTGGCAATGACTTTCCAGTCAGTATGCTATTCATCAATCATAGCCAATATGCCCAGAACTTTTACCCAGATTATTTCACCTCTTATGCATACCTTACTTCCAATTTCACACACATCAATTTCAACACGTCACTGTTGCCACGAAAGCCAGTATCTTCATCATTATGTCCAGGGTCTTCCCAAGTCTGAGGGATGGCCACATAGTTCCAGATATATCCTTTATAAGGGAACAAATTCACAACATAACAAAGTTTTGCTTTTTTCACATCCTGTTTAATTGCACTTAAAGGGTCCTTTGTAGCAATCTCCATTTTCTCATTAGACCAGCATAGTACTTCAACTACCATGTGGAACATATCCTTATCTGCAGAAATTGGAATATCATGAAATAGAGATATGTATATTGTCCTTTTTCATTTTTGAGGAAGACTTGGTACTCAAGGGTGAAGGGTGTGGCGTGCTTCTCACTGCTGAAGCCACTCGTGATGCCAGAGACTATCTGTGACTGCCACCGCCATACAGCCATCAACCCACAAGCAGCACCAACTAATAAGGAGAACTCACGCCTGTGTAGCGCGAGGACTGTCCTACAGGTTGTAGTAGCTAACGGCCTCACTGTCATTTTGTTCAAGCAATTTATGGATTTCAATCTCTATCCTCTCCTTGACCCAGGTATCACTTAGCAATAGGTTGTTTAGTTTCCATGACTTTGTGTGGGGATGAGTGTTTCTGTTGGAATTGAGTTCTACTTTTATTCCACTGTGGTCTGTAAAGATACAAGGTATATTCCACTTTTTAAAATTTGTTGAGGGTGATTTGTGATATAGATACGATTGATCTTGGACAATGATCCATGAGCTGATTAGAGGAACATATATTCAGTAATATTGGAGTGAAATGTTCTGTATATGTCTGTTAAGCCCATTTTTTTCTAGAGTAATGTTTAAGTCTAATGTTTGTTTGATTTCTGCTTGGAGGATCTGTACAGTTCTGTCAGTGGGTTGAAGTCCCTAGGTATGATTATGGTGGTGTTGTTTATCATACTGTTCAGACCAAGTAGAGTTTGCTTTATAAAACATGAGTGCATTTAAGTTGGGTACATACATATTTATGACTGATATGTCTTCTTGTTGAATTGCTCACTTGACCCCCAATATACAGTGCCTATCTTTGTCTTTCTTTAATTTTCTTCCTTTAAAGTCAATAGTATCTACAATATGAAAACAAATCCCACTTTCTTTTGGTTTCCATTTACACGAAATATTGTTTTCCATCCCTTTACTCTAAGTATTAATTTGCCTGGGGATGGGAGGGCAGTAGATGTGTTTCCTGAAAACAGCATATACTTGATTTATATTTTTATAATCTACTCAGCCAGTTGTTGTCTCTAGAGTGGAGAATTCTCTTTGTTCACATTTATTGAGAGAACTGATGCGTAGAGTGGATTTGTTTGTCTCACTGTGTGCAATTCTGTTGCCTTATTTTATCACTTGGGCCATAGTGGTAGCTAGGCTTTGTCTTGTAGTTTCCAGGTATCTTTTCTTTGCTGGGGATCCGTGTATTAGTCTGTGTATAAAAAAGATCTGAGTACTTCCTGAATAATTAGTCTTATAGTAGCAAATTGACTCAATGTATACTTGTCAGTAAAAGACTTGATTTCTCCATCAAATATGAAACTTAGATTTACAGGATACAGAATCCTACGCTGGCAGTTATTTTGTATGAGAAGATTAAAGATAGATGCCCACTCCCTTCTGGCTTGTAAAGTATCTGCTGAGAAATCAGCTAGGTGTTAACGTAATTGGTTTATCCTTACAGTCAGATGCTGCTCATGCTTGGCTGCTTGCAGAATTTTCTCTTTCATTTTGACTTTGGCCAGGCTAATTACAATGTGTCTAGAAGATCCTCTGTTTGGATTGAGTCACCCTGGGCTTCAATATCTATCTAATAAGTGTATGTATGAATCTTGTGTGATGCTTAGGAATTTTTCAACTATAATATCACCAACTAGAGCTTTCATGCTTTTGGGACTCTCTTCTTCTCTTGTAATACCTATAATTCTTATGTTTGTACACTGCATAGTCCTATGAGAGACTGCTCTGCTTTTACTCGTCTCTGCTTTTTTAAATGACTGGGTTAGCTTGAGAGCCTTGTCTTTAAGCTCTATGATTCTTTCTTCTCCATGGTTTAATCTATTATTGAAACTTTCTACTATATTCTGGAAGTTTTTCAATTCTTTAAGCTCCATTGTATTCTTTCTAATTTCCAGATTCTTGGTGACTTTATCTATGATTTTGTTTATTCCCTGTGATCATTTTTAAACTTTTCTGCTGTTTTTTTACTTTCCCTTCCATTCCTTTCATTGTATTTGCCACCCAAAATTTAAATTCCATTTCTGTCATTTCCAAAATTTCGTTATAGTTGGAATCTTCTATGGTAGCTCCTTTGTAATCCCTGGGGAAGCTGATCTGTTCTGGTTCTTGATATTACCAAAGCAGGTTTTTTTGTTAGTTTCTCCTCACGTGTGGTTTCTGCTTCCTTTTTCCCTTCAACTTTCTTCTTTCTTTTTCCTCCTTTCTTTTGTTCTGCTTTAACTCCAGGGCATGGGGTTAAAATGCACCTGTTACTTGAATCTTGAGCAAAGTTTTGCCTCCTTTATACTAGAAGAGGCTGTTTACACTCTGGTTGACAGCAAAGCCGTGATGTAGTCTGTAGCCTTGTCTAGCAGCTTAAGGATAGTCCTGTATCTCAATTACCTTTATTAACTTTTCCCAGGCAGAATACACCATTAGATTCCTTCTGTGTTCAGGAAAGTCTCCTGAAGATGTAGAATACCAAAAGAAGAAGAACATAATCTCTTATCAGTTAACATTCCCAAGAGGATTACTTGGCAGATTGTTAGAAATCAGTATCAGTCTAGAAAAACAGGTTAAAAGCACAGGTGGAGACGCAAATAGACAAAAGAGGGAATGACACATCAGAACAAAAGTGAGGGCTACAGAAGAAGAGTGAGGCTACTAGTTAACAATACTGTCCCTAAAACAGAAATTTTAAAATATTAATTTCAAAATAATAAATCCACTACTTACTTATATATTTTTTAAAACCAAAAATAACTAGCAAGAAAAATGGCTTTTTTTTTACATTTTTACAAATTTCTTTAATATCCAAACAGAGAATAGCTGGATTCTTATCCGTTTCTACTCTCCATCTTTTATGATGCCCTACTTCTTGTAACTTTTGGAAAACTTTCCTGTATACATGTGAGAGAATGAGACTAAAACAAGCAAATAATGTCTTTTTTTTTGAGATAGAGTCTCACTCTGTTGCCCTAGGCTAGAGGGCTATGTAGAGGGCTATGGCATCGTAGCTCACAACCTCAAACTCCTGGGCTCAAGAAATCCTCTTGCCTCAACTTTCTTAGAAGTAGCTGGGATTACAGGCATGAGCCACAACACCAGGGTATTTTTTCTATTTTATAGAGACCGTGTCTTGGTCTTGCTCAGGCTAATCTCAAATGACTGAGCTCAAGCAATTCATTTGCTTTGGCTATCCAGAGTGCGAGGATTATAGATGTAAGCCACTGTACTAGGCCTAAATAATGTCTTGATATTACTATGGAAATACTGTGGAACTTACATACTCTATAAAGGGACTCAAGGACCCTTGGGGACTCTGGATAACATCTGTAGAACCTTTGCTCTATGCTCCTTCAAGGCGATAATAGTCTTTTCTTTGTAACTTTAGAACCTGAAATGGTACATGATTTATAGCCAAGTACACAATAAAATGCTTTCTGAGTGCACGAATAAGGAAATCATTTTTAAAAATTCAGGCTGCCAGCTGGGTGTGGTGGATCATTCCTGTAATTCTAGCACTCTGGGAGGCCAAGGCAGGCGGATTGCCTGAACTCACAAGTTCAAGACCAGCCTGAGACAGAGCGAATCTCATCTCTAAAAATTTAGGCTACCTTCTAGTCCATTCATTGAGAATTTCCAAAGTATAGATTTATACAAAATTCAAAAACTAAAGATAAATTTTGATACAATAATTAAATATCAATTACCATCCATCTGAATGAGTAGTTCAGACTTTACTCTGCGACTTGCCTCATGTTCATCAGAGGTTCCTCTTCGACTGCAGATAGAATCTATCTCATCAATGAAGATCGTGGTAGGAGCATAAAATCTAGCCTTTGTGAAAATGTTTTAAAGAAATAATTCAATGATCACATAAAATAACCTGAATATTTTTTTAAATACCATTTTCTTTTAAAACATGGTGAAAGAGAGTAGAAATTTCTCACTGTTTTAATGCTACCATCCAGTTATTAACAGAGGATAAATAAATCATTCACATCAGAAAAAATTTTTTTCTGAAAATGAAAGTTATATGGTTGGTGAAGTTAGGTGACAGATATATAAGGATTCATTATACTATTCTTTCTACTTTCATGTTTGGAAATTTCCATAATGAAAATATCTTTTAACTTTGTAGTACTATTCTTTGACTTAGAAAGTATGTATTAAATGTCTATGTGTTCCTGCCCTGTAATGAGGCTGGAAAGGCAGAGGTGAAAAAGATAGAACTTTAAAATTATAAATAATGTATTTAATTCCAATAAATATTTCCATTGTGGTAAAAATGCAACGTGTGTGTATAGATGTATAATTATTCAATATTAGTAACCAAATTCTCAATTTCCATCTCTGATGTCAAGAGAAAATTTGCATTAGGTAGACACAGATCAAAGATCTAGAATGTGAAAATTATTTTAAAAATATTAAAAAGAGAAAAAAATATATTAAAAAGATCCCAATTCTATAGTACATTTTTGCCAGAATTTTGCAAAATTAGTCTTGGCCATTTGTTGATTACTTTGGGATTAATATCCAAATGGGTTTTAAAGTTTTAAAGAAATATTTTAAAAATATATAAATATACAATAATTAATATGTGTTGCTGAAATGTAATTTGTCTTCTCTATCTTCTGCTTGTATAATGCTATTTTTTATTCTAATTGATTGATAAAGATCATTTAAATATATTTTAAAAAATAAATCAACCTCTACCCTCAAATATATATTCTTTGTAATTATTGCAGATCCCTTATGAAAAATGAACAAACTTTAGAGACAGATCAGATTCTAACTGATTTTTTAAATATATATTAAATTCTTCTTCTACTCCATCAGTTCACTAGTGATTCAGAAATACCAGTCAACCCACAAATATAGCAAAGTCTCTTCCTTTATCCTCACTGAACAGGATGGCAAATGGCATCCTTTACCTCAGAGAGAAAGATACATTGAATACACATCAATTACCCCCACAAACCCCCTCACCCCATTTCTTCCTAGTGTGTCAGGAACTATTAAAATGCAACTACACTGCCCTTTTCAAAAGATTTCTAGGTGAACAGACCTAGATTTATAGGGGCATCATATACCCATACAAATAGTACTATGAAATCTGAATATATCATCACTCACCATTTCAAACAAGAGACGGACTAACTTCTCAGATTCACCTCTATACTTAGATGTCAGTGTAGAAGAGGAAACGTTGAAAAATGTTGTGCCACATTCAGTGGCAACAGCTTTAGCTAGCATAGTCTTACCAGTGCCTGGGGGTCCTACCATCAGTACACCCTGTAATTTGAAAAGATGAATTAAATGATGTATCAGATTAAAATGGTTTTTATGGATTATCATCAATTATTAATGTACAGGAACATTTTCCCATCAAAAGATAAGCTCAATTGTCACAGCAAAATGATATTCTTGGCAAGAGCACTATTTTATAGGTAGAAAAAATGAAGAATGATTTCACGAAGTCTAAAATTAGAGGCAGTAAGACATAAGTTAACAAAGGGCTTAGACAACAGACAACAAAGAACCTACCCAGTCTTCTTTTCTTTTCTTTTAGACAAGAGTCTCACTGTCACCCTTGGTAGAGTGCTATTTCATCATAGCTCACAGCAACCTCAAACTGTTATGCCCAGGAGTTCCATAAAGACCACACTGCCAAACAAGTTAAATTTAAAGAGGAGTCCTTTTTTTTAAGAGCTGGCCAGTGACTGCCTCAGTGTCCCAACATGGGGTTTCTGAGAGCAACTCCGAGTGCTTTAAGGGGGCTGGGTTTTTAAGGCTTGGTCTGCATCCTAGCTGGCATGCAGGCTGCCTAAGTGCATCAGGTAGGGTAGCCAGCAAGCACTGTACAGAAGCAGAATTTTGAGGTTATTAGTCATATGTTATATATCCTTGTGTTAATATTTTCCCCCTATATATCTTGGTTTTATTACTTGCCCCCATACATCTTAGTTTTAGTACTTTTCCCACTTGGTATTGTTTAAAAGTCAGTCTGGGCACAGTTGGTATCTCCTGGTCTATTTCCCAGGGAGTTAGCCAAGCAAGAAATTTGGAGTGAACTAGAAGCAAGAAGTTAATTAGTACTTTCCCATCTTTCTTGGGAGTGAACTAGACTGATTTCACTTTTTTTTTTTTTTTGAAAGCTTTCAATCCAGAAATTTTCCAGGAGTTAACTGGTATTTTTCCATTATAGCTTAGGCCTGACACCTTTCTGTCTTAGCCTAGGCCCACTAGGCCTAACAAAACTCTTGGACTCAAGAGATACTCTTGCCTCAGTTTTTCATTTTTAGTAGAGATGGGGTCTCGCTTTTGCTCAGGCTGGTCTCAAACTCCTGAGCTCAAGTGATCCACCCACCTTGGCCTCCCAGAGTGCTGGGATTACAGGCATGAACCACCATGCCCGGCCTCTAACCAATTTTCTTGAACCTGGAAAAAGAGAGAGGTATAAATATAAATACAAGGGCTGTCCATAAAATAGCCAGCCATGTAAATATGAAAAATAGTGCATATTAACAATGGCTGGATACTTTCCACACAGACCTCATACATATTCTTTTTTTTT